GAGAGGCAGGATGTGGCCCGATGTGACTGACCACCCCTGTCTGTGCTCCCTGTGAAGTGTCCAGGGCCTCCCTGTCCCTGTGCCATCGGGGATGCTGTTGGGAGGATGACGAGAGAGGCCTTTCCAGCAACCGCTCCTGAAGTCGGACGAGCCCTCCTGGGGATGTTCGCAGATCTGCGCTGCTGAAGGGACAGGAGCCGTGCGTGCCCACTGACCGTCACCACGGGCACCTCTGCGATACTCGCCCGGGGTGAGGCAGACGTGCCCGGTGACGCCCCCCTTCCAGCTATGGCCCTGAATCTCTCTATAAACCATCATCATCCTGGCGGCTGAAATGGGACCTTGTCCCTGCGGTCTCATCACTGCCTACCGCTAGCCAGGGCAAGGGCGAATCACCTTACGTCTTCCCGGTAAGTCTGGGGAAACTGCCGCCCGGTCTGGCCCTGGGTACGATATCCCGCAGCGCCAAGGCTTTCTGGGGCTCTGACCAAACGAGCTGGCAAAAGCAGCAGCGGGTCACCTTGGACCGGAGATTGCCAAGTCAATTTGCCAGTTCATCAATGCGAGGATCGCAGCCTCCGTCACATCACCGAGGCACAGTCCCCAAACCTTTTTGCCCTGACTGCAGGTCGCCGTCAGCCGCTAACACCCCCGCTCCCAGGCACTGTAGGAGGCCAGCACAGAGCTGACCCTGTCGACCAGCCCGAAGGCCAACCCGCCTGACACGACTGGGCTCGCAAAATGACCCTGCAAATTGTTTTTCAGGGGCACACGGGGCTCTGACTCTGCAGAGCAACACGAGAGCTCCACGCCGGCTCTACTCGCAGCATCCCCTTAGTACCCCATGGAGCCAGATGCCATCAAGCTATTTTTAAACGCTTCGTATTTTGGGTTACAATTTTTTTTTTTTTTTTTTTTTAACTATTTTCTCTTGCAGGAAACCCTTGGTACGCAGCCAGCAGAGCGAGGAGTTTGAAATCCCCAGGCTCCTGTTGCCTCCAAGATTGGAAATTGCCTGCGTATAAAATCAATTAAAAATAATTTTCAACATTAACAAAATAATAAGGAGAATGAGTGATTTTTTTCTCTTCCTCTCCTCCTTGCTGGGAGCAGTGTGAGATGGCAGCAGGGTGTAGGGTGGGCTGGGGAGGGAGGCGAAGGGCTCGCAGTTCTCAGCTATGCAGCTGTGAAAGTCTTTATGCTTCAACCAAAGTGTTTATTGAGCGATGAGATGTCTCTATCGACCTGCCTGACACTGGGGAACGGTATAAAGCACAAGTGACGCGAGGTGAGAGGGTCTCAGCCAGGTGCCAAAATGAACACAGGCCACAAACTACATCCCCACCATGCCTAAAGCAGAAGATAAGAAACATAAGGGCTGGACTAGGACAGCGATGAGTGTGGGATGGATGCGTGGAGGGATGGGCAGATAAAGACAAGGTATTTAAACGCTGAAATGCCGTGACGAGCAAGCGCGGCGCAGG